CCCGGGACTCATTGGTCCATGGGCCGATGATCTAACCACTGAACAAACTGGCCAAGGCAGAAGTATATGCCTTTAAAACAAATAATTCTGGTGTGCTTACTGGGCCCTGGTAGAGAATACCTGGCCACAAGACAGCAAGTAGAAGTATCCGCCACAAGCTGACCTGCCCAGCCCATCAAGGTCTAGGGGTTGGGCAGGCCAGTGGCAGACACACAGCTGGGATCAGGTACTAGCACCAGAGAGCACAGGCCATGCAAAAGCAAGTGGCCCAGACCCAAAAGTCACCCCCGCTGCTGCGCTGGTGCCCCACCCCAGTTAACACCTACTGCTGGATGGTGGTTCCCTGTGAATGAGCTTGGTTTATGGGTGGGCTGGCTCTAAAGAACATGGGGAAGGCAATGCTCTGAAATGGGGAATGTGCCTGGTCATTCACCTGGTCTAAGAGAAGCCGATCAGGGTTAGAATCCCGAGTGAACAGGGCAGTGCTGAACCATCTGCCTGGCTAGTCAGGGGCCTGAGAAACTGGGTATGGGAAACAGGTGTGGATAGAGGCATGCAGATGCATGACTGGTAAGGGTGTATGTAGACTGCCATCACGTCAGTGTCCACTGGAGAATGCCCACCACGAAGAGGAATTAAACAACTACATAGGAAAGGTGACACTGCCAGTCTTGGCTGTTGGCCACCCAGTGCGGGAGCTCAGTAGCATGGGCTCTGACTTATCAAGGCTGATTCAGCTATGTCATGGCTGGATATGAAGCCTTCCAGTGGGAGACACCAATGCCAAGCTACCTGCTCAGCATCATTCCCAAGGAGACCAGCCAGTTGACCACCGTTGCCTGTTTACACAGGAATAGACGCTTACTCTGGGTTTGGGTCTGCTTTCCTGCCTGTAGGTCCTCAGGCAGCCTCACTCAGAGGCTTGTAGGGTATCTGAACCACTGGCATGGGATGCCACAGAGCACACCACCAGACCAGAAGATTCCCCTTCCCAGCAGAGGTGTGGGAGTGGGCCCATGACCACGGGGTCCTCTCTGAGTCACATTCATCACCTCCAGAAGCTGCCAGCCTGACGGAGCACTGGGATGACCCAAGGTACAAGTGGATCACCAGCTGACAGGTGTGCCCCAGGAGGATGGACACTGTCTTTCAGTTCACAGTACACACAGTGCAAAGACCTTGATATTGTGCCACGTCCACAAAAGGAAGGACACGCAAGCCCGGGACAGAAGGGGTGGAAGCAGGAGTGGCTGCCCTTACGATCTCTCCCAATGATCTGCCGAGGGATGTTGTGCTTCCCCTGCTCACATCTCTTGGCACTACTGGTCTAAGAGGGGGCACACTTTGCCAAAGGAGGCAGCAAGGGTCATAGTGAACTTAAAGCTATGATCACCGCCTGAGCACTTGGGATCTCTGAGCCCAGGGTCAGCAGGCAAGGAGGGATGTGGGAACCCTGGGACCCACCGGGAGCCTCTTACTCCTCCCTCCCAACTCCGGCTGAGCAGGGCACGATGACCAGGCCAGGCCTCAGGCCTCTTGGGGACCAGACCAGGGTCCTACCTTCAGGGCAGTCACTGAGGCCAGCAGAGGAGGTTTGGGGGAGGGTCTAAAACAGGAAGGGAGAGGATGAGGGTGAGGGAGGACTAAGACCAGTTATGGCAGGGTGGCTGCAGTTTGTCATATAATGCCCTCTCCTCTCTTTTACATTTCTTTATTTTAATCTATTTAAAACTGTATGACATTTTTCAGTGGTCAAAACCCTAATTTTCATTGATACAATACTATTAACTAAAGTACAAACCCTGCACAAATGTTGCCAGTTTTCTCTCTCCTGTCCTTTTGCTGACCCGGGATCCTGAGAAGCCACTCCGCACTAGCTGTCAGGTCCCCTTGGTCCCCCCAGTCTGTGCGCCTCCTTGGTCTTTTGGCGAACTCTTTAACCATGGCACTCTGGAAGGGCTCTGCTCGGTCTGTGCAGACTGCTACACCTGGGCTTGTCTGATGCTCCCAGGATGGGACTGAAGTGACGCATACCTGGCAGGACTCCAGGGGGTGATGCTGTTATTCTCAGAGCAGCGCAGGAGGGCTAACCACACTGACAGGTCTTTACTTCCAATAAACTTGAAACACTCAGTAAGGTGGTGCCTGCCAGGCTTCTCCACTTGTGAGTGACTATTTTTTCCACCATAAGTAATGAGAGGATGCAAATACTCTTCTTATGGTACTTTTACCCACTAATTTTAACATCCACATGGTTCTTGCCTGCAACAGTTATCACTAATTCTCCTCTGAGTCTCCCCCAGGAAGAGAGGCCTCTGGAACCAGGAGCCCCCCCCCCCCCCGCCAAACTGTACGAAGAGTCACATCCAAGGGACAAGGGGTGGACTGTGTTGGACACAGGGATGTGCCACTGAGATCCACTATAAGGGAAGTCTTGCTGCCCCAGCTGCTGGCAGTGCCACCAGCAGACAGTCATTCGCTCCTGTGGCTCTTCTCTGACAGCTTACACGCAGTGACAGTGGATAGAAAGGAAGCAGCTGTTTTGGCCCACTGTGGGACAACAGACAGGCTGTATATGCCCTGGAACTCCCAGGGGGTGGCCGAAGCTTTGTCAGGTCTGCCTCACAGTTCAACTTCTCCACCTATCCAGCCCTATCTCTTCCCAGTCTCTTCAACAGGTGTTGGCTACCTAACAGTTTTCGTACACACCAAACTCCACCTTAGTTATCTGCTTTTGGAGACACCACAGAAATACCTCAGAGATATTGCAGATTTGGTTCTAGACCATCGCAATAAGCAATTCACATGAATTATTTGGTTTTCCAAATGTATATAAAAGTTATGTTCATCCTATACTGTAGTCTATTAAGTGTGCAACAGTATATGTCTAAAATAATGTATGTATCTTAATTTAAAAACACTCTTTTGCTAAAAAATGCTAACCATCACCTGAGCCTTCAGCAAGTCATCTTTTGCGGATGGAGGGTCTTGCCTCAATACTGATAGTTGCTCATTGATCAGGCTGGTGGTTGCTGAAGGTTGGGGTGGCTGTGGCAATGTCTTAAAATAAGAATGATGTTTACCACACTGATTAATTCTTCCTTTCATGAACAAATCAATTTGCATGCAATTGTCTGTTGCATGCAATGCTACTTGATAGCATTTTACCCAAAGTAGAACTCCTTTCAAAATTAGAGTCAATTCTCTCAAACCTTGTCACTGCACTATTAAATATGTTTATATAATATTCTAAATCCTTTGCTGCTGTTTCAACAATTTTCACAGCATCTTCACAAGTAGATTCCACCTAAAAAAATGACTCTCTGCTCATTCATAAGAAGTAACTTCCCATCCATTACAGGTTTATCATGAGGTTGCAGCAATTCAGTCTCATCATCAGGGTGCACTTCTAGCTCTAGTTCTCCTGCTGTTTCCACTATGGCAGTTATTTCTTCCACTGAAGTCTTGAACCCCCACAAAGTCACCTACAAGGGATGGAACCAACTTCTTCCAAACTCCTGTTAACACTGATATTTTGACTTCTTCCCATGAATCACAAATGATCTAAATGACATGTAGAACACTGAATCCTTTTCAGAAGGATTTCAATTTACTTTGTATGGCAGCTATAGCTTTACAAAATGTTTTTCTTAAATAGTAAGACTTGAAAACCAAAATTACTCCTTAGTCCATGGGCTACAGAATGAATGTTGTGTTACAGAAATGAAAACAACATTAACTTCATTGTACATCTCCACTGGAGCTTTTGGGTGGCCAGGTGCATTGTTAATGAGCAGTAATATTTTGAAAGAAATCTTTTTTTCTGAGCAGGAGGTCTCAACAGTGGGCTTGAAATATTCAGCACACCCTGTGGTATCCAGGCTTCGTGTTCCATGTACATACAGAGCACAGGCAGAGTAGGTTAAGCACAATTCTTAAGGGCCCTGGAATTTTTGAAATGGTACACGAACACTGGCTTCAACTTAGTCAGTAGCTGCCTTAACCCCTAACAAGAGAGCCAGCCTGTCCTTTGAAACCAGACACTGACTTCTCCTCTCTAGCTATGAAAGCCCTAGATAGCATCTTCCTCCAATAAGAAGCTGTTTCACCTGCAATGAAAATCTGGACAGTGTGTGGCCGCCTCCATTAACTGGCTCAGCTGGATCTTCCGGATAACTTGCTGCAGCTTCTACTTCAGCACCTGCTCCTTCGCCTTGTACTTTAAGGAGACGGCGTCTTTCCTTAAACCCCATGAACCAACCTCTGCTAGCTTCAAACTTTTCTTCTGCAGCGTCCTCACCTCGCTCAGCCTCCATAGAATTAGGGTTTTGCTCTAGATTAGGCTTTGGCTTAAAGGATGTTAAGGCTGGTTTCATCTTCTACCCAGACCACTAAAACTTCCTACATATCGGCAATAAGGCTGTTTTACTTTTTTATCATTTGTATGTTCACTGGAGCTGCATTTTTAAGTATCCTTCTAGAACGTTCTCACTGCATTCACAACTTGGCTAACTGGTGCAAGAGGCCTAGCTTTGGGCCTGTCTCGGCTTTCAACAGCCTTCCTCACTAAGCTTAATCATTTGAAGCTTCTGATTTTAAGTTAGACATGTGTGACTTCTTTTCATGTAAGAGTGTGGCTTTTAGGTTATTAAGCAAAAAAAGACCATTCGATTGCAAACTTTGCTGTATTGGCTACAAACTGGGTATTCACTAATACTAGTTATCCGTGTTAACTATGTAGAGATACAGATTCCTCACTGAATGAGGTTCTTTTCTAGGAAATCATATACAAGAATGTCAATAAATATTCCATAAACCAATATGAAAATCTGATTTCATGAATTAAGAATACAAGTTAATGAGAACAAGAACTGAATTGCAAGTGTATTTGATGAAAAGTCCCTACGGAATGACACCCTGTATATATTTAGAAAACCAATAACCAAACTAGATTTCTTCAGGAAGTTTTCTAGAATTATTTTTTAAAAAGAGGTACTCACAGATGCTCCTCCCATAATCTTGGGAAACATAACGGTGGAACAGCCATCTGGACTCTGTCCGAAGGTAGTATAGGGTGTTTGAAACCAAGCCTTTTCATTGGCCCAAACCACATCACAAAGAGGCAATATGGATGCTCCTAGTCCAATGGCTGGGCCATTTACTGCTACAATAATAGGCTTCTTAAACTGAATGAAAGTATTCACGAAGTTTCTAAAATAAAAAATAAATGGGGAATTACTAAAAATATTATGTATTTGAGCAACAAAAACCCCCACTATTATGGAATTCAATTTACTAAGATATAAACTCTGTAGAAATTATGAGCAAAGATTTGCTGAAGGACTTCCTTCAGAAGTTGTGCAGCACAGATTTATTTACTGTGTGTTACAAAGACTTTACAATACACTGGCTGCCATGCCAAAGTGGCTGTTGCCACAGGACCTATGTGAGGATTACAGGTAACATACAGCCAGAGGCTGCTCTTGCATTTGCAGTGGCTCATGGGCTCTACGACCAATATGTCTTTTTGCTCAGCTTTCCTTCCCTTTAAGACATTAAGAAGCCCAATAAACACCATGAGCTTCAGGAGACAAATCTAGATGCTCTCTGAGAGAAAACCCGTCACAGGGCATAATATTAACAATGCCCAGTTCTGAACAAAGACTAGAGGATTGGGGTGAGGAACCATGGGGTTGGGAGAGGAAGAGTGTGGGGAGTGGGGGGAAAGAAGAAGGGGGAAGAGGAAAAGGGGGAGGGAGGGGGGAGGGGGAGAGAGAGAGAGAGAGAGAGAGAGAGAGAGAGAGAGAGAGAGAGAGAGATGTGAGAGAGACACATCAACTGGTTGTTTCTTGAATGACCACAACTGGGGCTGGAGATTGAACTTGCAACCCAGGTATGTGCCCTTGACCAGGAATCGAACCTAAGGCCCTTCAGTCTGCGGGCCAATGCTCTAACCACTGAACCAAACCAGCTAGGGCTTGATATCTGATTTTAGACAGTTCACTGATTATTTGGAAACAGCAGATATTTCCCGAATTTATATAGAACCAGACTGAATGCCTTGGGGGATATAGAGACCAGAAGTTTATACAGGCTGGTTTAAAATATGAGATCCAAACAAGAAGAACAGAAACCACACACACCATTTTGAATTCCATTATGATGCAAAATATAATTTTAGCAGGATTTCAAAGGGGAGTGAGACGAGGGGTAGGGTGGCCTTCACAGAGGATGTGGATTTTTATAAAACTGAGCCAAGATTATTTTTAGGTTTGTTTCAGGATCAGGCTGGAATAGAAGGGCGCTTTCCAATTTAGGGTATGTTGGCGCCGCACCGCACTGGGAATGTGCATCTTCTATTCACCACTAGAACCTCATTTTATGCTCAGAGAGTGCTTTTTGTTATGCTTTAAAACACGGTGAAGAAAAGAAAAAATACACACCAAAATAAATACCCGATAATTCCTTTAAGGCAGTCTGCGTTCCAGATCTGAATCACAGAATTCTAAATTCTAAATCTGACCCTTATTTTTGGTACTGAAAATAACTGGGTATTCTCTACCATTTTGCAATTTAAAAGCTAGAGCAAACTGTTTTAGATTATCTCTGAAAGTCATGATTTGGCATCTTACATAATACCTCCTCCCAACTTACATGAAGGGTCATGTATTTCCTTTGGAGGGCAAACTGGAGGTGTGTATGTGTGTAGGTATAGAACAGGGGAAATGGGGGACTGCAGAATTTGGCAGCTTGCAAGCCTAGCTCCAGGAACCATTCTCAAAGGTTCCCCACAGTCATAGACCTCAGCTTGGCTCCCAAGGTCCCCCAAAGTTTGCTGGAACTTTACATTAAGTGAAAATAAACTCATTCCAATGAAAGAGTTGCACTAAGACTTCCTAAATGAGAGAGCCTGAGGCACTGGTGGAAAGAGCAAACTGATTTTAATGATACAAAGAGAGCCAAACTACCTTTTAAATAGGTCCTTGAAATAACCATAGATAATCTACATGAAGATACTCAGTTATACCACCTTTTGAGGATTTGGGTCAGTATACATGATGGAAATACATTTTCTATGTTCAGTTACTGATGATTCTTGACAAGGTATCTGCTGAATTTATCTCCATGATACAAAGCAGAGATTTTCAAAGTATGTCCCTTCACTTTCAACTGCCTCATATGAACATCTGGAAACTACTAATGGGACGGTAGATTAACACAGAAAAAATGATCAAAATAGTGTAATGAATTCTAAACAGAAGTGGTAAAAGAAATTAATTATTCCATGTAGCAGTGTTTTCTCTCATCTTATATGTTTGGGTAAAAGAAAAGTTTGCTTCTAAAATAAATATTGCAAAATCAAAACTTGTATTTTTAACAAGCTGGGTAAATATTTTTAGACTGAACACCACCCCTCACCCCCTCTTAGATAATTTTATTTTATTTTTGCCTGGAATAATAACTTAATCTGAAAGCCACTGCTGTTTCTAAGAAGAGTATGAATTAACCAGCACCTTTTAGAGCCGTGGTTCTCAACCTTCCTAATGCTGCGACCCTTTAATACAGTTCATGTGGTAGTGACCCCCAACCATAAAATTATTTTTGTTGCTACTTTATAACTGTAATTTTACTACTGTTATGTCTTAGGCAACCCCTGTGAAAGGGTTCTTTGACTCCCGAAGGGGTCACGGCCCACAGGTTGAGAACTGCTGCTTTAGAGTGAAGACCATTTTCCCTTTTCAGGGAACACCACATGCCATCCTGGAGTATAAGCTCTGAGATGCTAGAAATGAGCATGGTCCACAGAGAAATTGGTTTTGCTTAAAAACACAAAAACAAGACAAAACTTTATAAAATGCTTTTCTGGTAAGTATTCACTTCATAGAGTGACACAAGCTTAGTCAGGTGTGCTGCCCATCAAGCCACCCCACTACCAGAGGTGGGGAGAGGGAGCTGCCTTCAGGCCTAGGGATGAAGCTCTCAGGAGCCCGGCATACAAAAGGAACCTGTTCTCGTTTTTGCAAATTATTTTAAAACAAAATCAAAACACATGAATGTTCAAATGTGCTCAGCTTAATGCAACATACTAAATTTAAAATTCAGTTTCCTTTGAATTATTTTGCAAATTCATTTAAAGGATGTGCCGGGTTTGGCAGTAAAGAGATTATAATAGCCACAAATGGAGTTTTAAAAGACTTATAATTAAACAAAATCAAAATTCTATCCATTCTTTTGAAGAACATTTACTACTTCACAGACGTCATCAAAAAGTTAGAAAAAATCACATAAAAGCAATTACTCTAAGAATTGTTTGGGGAAAATGAAGCCACCAGATCTGAAGTTTTAATAGTTCACTGCCCTGTCTGAGCTGGGCTCTCCCCTCATTGTGAATCTGTAGAACAGGACTGGATGGGGAAGAGGTCAGGTTCTAGGGGCAAGTTTACTTGTTGGCTTTGTTCTCTTCCCAGACCCCTTCGTCTCCCTCTGTGGTAGTGGAAGACGCCTTCCTCTGGTGAGAGAAGGGTCCTGGTCTTCCAGTTCCCGAGGACTCTGAAAGCCTAACTTTTTAAAATAATTTGTAATGATTTTACCACTAATGTACTAAATATTTTTATTACAATTTATTTGCAAACTGGTTATCACCAACAATTCTGATAACAGAATTAGCAGCAACAGATTCCTAACAAAGGCAATGTTTAAATCTTATCTTATTTCCTACTTTTCTTTTGGAAACTTGCTACAATGACATTCTTTGCCCCAAAGTTTTAAGAAATCAAGGTAATATACCACAGAAACAAAAAATATATATAGCAATAGCTTTATGTGTGTAAGACAATCTTATACATATAAAACTTAATTTAAATGCAAATGAGCAAGAGTAAAATTAAGTGAATCTGGTGTAACTAATTATATTTATGATCCTGCCAGTGCACATTAAGAAAAAGTCACACAGACAAAATTATATTCATTTAAAGAAGAACCAAGTAAGTTTCCCTAAAGCAGGATTTGGCTTTTCCTAGAATACTAATTCAGTTTTTGTGGGGAGGAGTGCCATGGGAGTGGGAAGGTTAGGAGGAAAAAAAAGGGGAATCGGTAGCTGATGAAAATAAACATTTCAAGTTCCCTAGAAGTTTAACAAATGAGATCTCTCTGATCTAGCTTTCCTCTGCGTTTTTCTAATTCTAGCAATACAAGTCTTAGGTACTGTCAAGGACAATTCAACACTGGAGGAATGAGCTGGAATTAGGGTTGAGGTATCAACAAGATTTAGAATGGTGCTTTGGCAAATGCCTACGGGGTGAAGTGAGCCAGGACTGAGAAGGCATTGGCTAGCAAATTCTATTTTCTTATCACAGCAGATCTCCCCAAATCACAGTATTATGTGTAAAGTCAGCGTGCTCTTATAGAAAACATATAGTCACCATCTGAGGTATAATGTCTTGTACCAGAAAAATGAAAATTAAGTTCATCCTGAAAGGATGGAATAGACCTAATAATTAGGAATATCTAAAGTTGTCTTAGGGGAACGAAAAATCTGTGAAGGAATCATGTGAATGGTTAAGCAGTTTAATTCCAAACCAAATAGCCGGATGATGGTCCCACCTAGCATTCTACAAATTTGAAATTATTTAGGAGACTAGAAATAATAGTTAAGATGAAATTATAAAACTTCAAACTATTTTTCAAAACAACTACTATATAATAGCTTAAAAATGGTAATGTTAAAAAAAAATTAAGGAATAGATAATGCCCTGGAAGAATGTATATATTGTATGAGAAAACAAATAATTTTGAAAATCATTAAAAATATCATAAAAGGCCAAAGCAATGCCCAAGGTGCGGAGATCTGTTAGAGAGAAATGCCCCCTACAACTCCAGACCCACCAAAACAGAAAAAAGCACCTCCACCAATCCTGACATGCACCTGTCAACAGTTTAGGGGACCACAAAGCTGTGCTCCCAAGGTCACTGCGCTTAGGGTCTCAGCCACCTGGAGCCTTATAATTACCAAAAGAGGCTCAACTTCAACTCACCGAATACCTAGGAATTTTGGAGAAGATCCAATCAACTTTACTGACATTTTGCAAATCTGTGACTCTAAGTTTTCATCTTTCTGTAAATTACAAAGGTTCCTTAGGAGTCACTTAAGGATATGTCATTTTAGAGAGGTGTGTAGGGAAATACAATGGTCTTTCTGGTTGGTGACTGGATTTCATTCACTTTAAATAAACACAATCTCTGAAAAATTAGATACTTTAATTTATACATATAGTGATTAGCATGAAAAATAAGGGATATAAACAAAATATGTACACCTGGACATGCTTATAGCAGAATTATGTGGTTCTAGGAAAAGTTTTTTCGACTGTTATTATATAGCAGTAGAAAAATCCAAAAACAGAGAAAATAGAAATATCCCAAGTCATATAGTTAAATGAAAAAAGCAAAACAACACTGAATAATTCCATTTATTTAACAGAGCTAAAAATAAAGCTTTATTATTTGTATGTGTGTAAGGAATACATATTTGAAAATGTTTAGAAAAAGATTGGGGAAGACATACAAATGACTTGTGGTTGGGAGGTGAAAGAGAGGAAACTTACTTTTTACTCTGTGTTATATAGTTTTTAGTGAAAACTCAGGATGAATTTGAACAAGAATGTGTACTGCTTGTACTAAAAAAAAATTTTTTTTCATGTGATGTTATGAAACTATCTCATCATAAAACCTAGCCAATTTATTTTAGAGTCAGGCAAATGGTAAGTTATTATGTGAAAGAGTGAATCTTTATTTAAGGGGTGAAGACAGAACATACTCATGTTACAAATCATGTGGCTATATGCTCTTATATACTCTAACAATTAAACATTCCCTAAGAACTTCACTGGGTTTGAGCCAGCCTTGAAATCAGTTATATGCTCAAGGCAAGTAGTAATTTATGCTAGGCTCATAGAAAAGAGGTAAATTAATTAACTTTACTACTCGTGTCTCTCAGTGGAGGAGACTTACATCTCATTTACAAGCTTGTTTAAGCCTGTTCTATCAGCTACTGGTAGACTAAAAGCAAAACATTCCAACCAATGTTTTTAAAAATACCATTCATGCATACCTGATAGCTTCCGCCATTTTAGTGCTTTCTCGTTTTCTGTCATCTGTTAAACGCCGTATAAAATAAATGAAGTCGAGACCACAGCAGAAGACGCTGCCCACTGCACTGAGCAGCACGAGCTTGCTGTCATCGGCAGCGGCCGTGCTCAGGGCACTCTGGACTTCTTTCATTACCTGAAAGTCACCAAAAGTTAAAGTGGCAAAGGGTATTTTCAATACAGAATCCTAAAAGCAATTCATTATGGAATAATCTGGATCTACAGAAAGTACATTTATAGCCTAATATTGTTCCTTGTATTTACCAACTTGAAATAACTCACAAATTTCTTATTTCTGTAACCAGAGAGTATAATTACATAACTAATTATGAACAGAGTGTAGTTAGAAAGACATGCGACTCTAAGTTACCTTAACATTCTAGTCACTGTGGCTCTCAGAAGATAAGGCGAGTTACATATTTTACCCACTTGGTATTTCTACTCTTTAGACAGCAGGTGGCACGTTCAACTAGTTGCAAGAAACTAGTTCAGTTCCCTGGGGTTTTTGTCATTGTGGAACACCAGCCTGCCGCACTTGAAACAGAAATCCCAACAGCCTGGTGCTTAAGCGTATTAGATGCCAAGTATATGAACATGGAGGTCTGCTGAAGGGCACAAAGCCATCTGGAATGATCTCTGCAGCATTAACTAATAACCAATGAAGGGGCTCTGCAGTCTAAAAATGGACTGGGAACCAGCCCTGAACTGATTTGTCATATGACCCTGGCCTGAAATACAAACTTGATGTAGTTTGGTTTTCTTGTTTGGGAAAACTTGATCTAGCTGTTCACAAGTGGAAAACAAACAATTACCAGAACATAAAGGTACAGTGCACGTTAAAATACTTCTGATTTTAGATGCGTCAAAGAATTAAACCTTTGCAAGCATTAGTTTCCCTTGATCCTTGAAAGCTAAGTTTACCAGGTACTACTAGCAATGAACATGTGTTGAATTCACTGGAGATGGAAGTTCCACTTCCATGTTGAAGATTGACTGGGAATGATGGTAAAATATTCTGAAGGGGCTGGAACCCAGAGTATTTTAGTCTTGTTCGAATGAAGAACCCTTTGAGAATCTGATGAAAGCTAAAGAAGAGAATGTGCACACACACATTCTACATGTAACTTCAGGGAGGCTGGAATCTCCCGGAGACCCCGCGCACTCCCAGGTTAAGAGCTCATAACCCGGAAGCACAATTACCATCTCCTCCATTCAGAACTCTGGTTCCTGTCCCAGCCTACACCCTTGACAATGAAGACAAACACTAGACACACGCATACTGTCCCAACTTCACTGCAGTCATGAGTGTTATATGGACCAAGACTGTCACACTTCACCTGTGCTTCCTATCTCCTGGTGGTTACTATGAAACGGCCCAGAAGGAGAGTTAGAAAAAGCACAAAAAGTGCCAATTTGGCTGAGCAGGCCTGGGAAACAGGGCTTGGAGAAAAAGGACGCACAAATCGGCCCAAGGAACATTTCTCACCTCTGGATTTAGTGAGTTATTCTCTGATGATTTTGTTGATAACAAGATGTGGGTGAAGCCATCCTGCTTCCTGACGACAATATCTCTGTATCTGTAGGCACTTTCTGTTTGCCTCACACTGAAACGCAACCGCTTGTCAAAAGGCTGGTCTCTTCTGTCGTCAATAAATTTCCTTTTCCCGGCTGTTACTCCTGTAACAGATGTCTGTATGCTGGTTGTTCCATTGGCTGTTAATGCATCCATAAATGGAGATGTACCTGCCAAGAGTTTGAAATCACAGTGGTCTGTGATATCCTGCTACCAATTTCACTCCCCAGTGTCGTCTCTGAATTAGGTAAAAATGTTCCTTAAAAACTCGAGATTTAATGTTTTAATGCAAGAACATTAAAATGAGAACCTTTGGAAAGTCTACTTTTAAAGGTATTTGTTTTTCATCAAAGTCTGACAAGGAAATAACCCTCTTGCTTATTTTGCCTAAAAAAATACAGATGGAAAGGTACTTGCTGAAAATCAGCAACAAAATTTTTAAGACTTTTGAAGAATAAAATTAAGAGAGAATGGGCCTCATGAATAGTACCTATTTCAGGCTTGAGAGAAGTTGAAAGAAAAAAGGAAATTGATCCAAGAAAATATCTTACTATTAGAACTGAGGTTATCTGCCATTTCATTTTCTGAATGAAAGATCGTGCAGACACACGATGCAACCATCCATTGCTGAGGGGCTGTCCTACCAAGTGGTGCCACAGTCACCACTGCAGACCACCACCCCTAAGTGGGGCACTTGAGATACTCAGGAGTTCCTTCTAATGCCCAGGGATGTGACTACTTATGATGTCTGTCCAAGGGTCCTAGCTCTACTACATTTTCAAATGCCTTTTAATAGCAAAAGATAGCTCTCTTTCCTGCCACAAAAAAATGTTCCGCCAATGTTCCCCTCCTGTGTCAGCTCCTCAACATCAAACCTGGTTGCTGTTTTTCAATCCGTTTTAAAGATACTGTCCCCTGAATTCAACATTTATTATGATAAAGTCAAGGGTTTTATTTAATACTTTCCTAGACTACAAAGAAATGTCAGGATAAGAATTCAAGTAAAATGGAACAGAATAGAGAACCCAGAAAGTGACCCAGGATAATATGCTCAATTAGTATTTGACAAAGGTGGCAAGAGCATACAGTGGAGCAAAGACAGCCTCTTTAATAAATGGTGTTGGGAAAATTGGACAGCTACATGCAAAAAAATGAAGTTAGACCACCAACTTACACCATACGCAAGAATAAACTGAAAATGAAAAAAAGACTTATATGTGACTAGTGATTCCATAAAAATCCTAGAAGAAAAAGCAGGCAACAAAATTTTAGACATTATGTGCTGCAAAATTTTCAATGATACATCACCTAAGGCAACAGAAGCAAAGAAAAAAAATGAACACATGGGACTATATCAAACTAAAAAGTTTCTGCATAGCAGAAGAAACAACCATCAAAATGAAAAGGGAACCCACTATATGGGAGAACATAATTGCCAATGATACATCAGATAAGGGGTTAATTTCCAAAATATATAGAGTACTGACACAACTCAACAAAAGGAAGACAAAAAACCCAATTAAAAAATGGGCAGAGGACCTAAAGAGACACCTCTCCAAATAGGACATACAGAGGGCCAAGAGACATATGAAAAAATGCTCAGTGTCACTAATCATCAGAGAGATGCAAATTAAAACAACAATGAGGTATCACCTCACACCTGTCAGAATGGCTGCCATCTAGAAATCATCAAACAAGTGTTGGCGAGGGTGTAGAGAAAAGGGGACTCTAGTACACTGCTGGTGGGAATGCAGACTGGTGCAGCCACTATGGAAAACAATATGGTGTTACCTCAGAAAATTAAAAATTGAACTTCCATTTGACCCAGTGATCCCACTTCTAGGAATATGCCCTAAGAAGCCTGAAACACCAATCAGAGAGAATATATGTACCCCCTTGTTTACAGCAGCACTATTTACAATAGCTAAGATCCGGAAAAAGCCCAAGTGTCCATCAGTAGACGAGTGAATAAAAAAGCTGTGGTACATGTACACAATGGAATACTATGCAGCTGTAAGAAAGAAAGATCTCTTTCCTTTGAGACGACATGGAGGGACCTGGAAAGCATTATCCTAAGCCAAAGAAGCCAAGCAGAGAAAGACAAATACCACGTGATCTCACTTATTTGTGGAATATAATGAACTAAACAAACTAATGAACAAAACAGACCCAGAGACATAGAAGTAGGGTACAGACTGACATTCCTCAAAGGGGGGAGGGATAAACCACAGAACTTATATGCATGTATGCATAAATGATGGACATAGACAACAAAGCTGGGGACGGGGTGGGAAGGGATAGGGAGGAGGGAGTCAGTGGGGGGAAAAAGGAGAAATATCTGTAACAAAAATAAATTAATTAAAAAAAGAATTCAAGTATTAGGTACATAATTATTTTCCTATTTATATGATTTGTCTATATATTATCTAACTTGGTAATGAGTATACAGAGCCTTTGGGTAGAGGAGGAGAAAGAAATATAAGAAAACTGGATCAAGCTTAATAAAATTAGCAATGTAGACGTTCTCTGAGGGAAAGATCATGATAAAATATGAGTTGGAAACATTTCCTCTAACGTGAAAGAAAATAAGCCAAGGCCACCAGAGAAGACTCACAAAGGGACGTTTCGAGAAGTCAAATAACCTCTAGGCAAAATAATCTGACTTTCACTCAACTGGCAGAAGAAATACTTTAGTTAAAGAGTCTAAAATTTTTAAATTGTATTAGTGAATGGTCTCTCGCAGCGTGCCATCTGCCCAGGACCTCTAATCTCCAGCAGCCAGTTGTGTCTGGTTTCTAGGTACTCTTCAAGAATCTTTATGAATGATGGACCCTGAGAAAAAAAAATTCATTTGATATGAACCCCAAGAAGGAATTTATCTGTTGAGATAGAATGAAGGTCCAAATTTTATAAAAAATAAAGAGTCTAGCAACCATTTGATGACAAGGGGGCTCCCCCTGTACCCTGTATATTGGGAAGATCCTAAGACTGAACTCTTGGCTTCTGATCCTATGTCCTGCTTGGGTAGTCTGTCTGAGTCACCCACTGCAGGAAATTTTGTCTATCAATGGACTGAGACCCACCCTGTCCAATCAGAACTTGATAATTATATCCTTATTTACATTCATAATGACCAATAAGAACAGCATAATTTGGATCAATCTGAACTGTAGAAATTTGGGAACCCATTTGCACAAAATTAGACCAATTGGGAACGTGGATGGGAACTTCGTCTATAAAAGGCTCCCAACCTGGCTGGTTTGGCCCAGCAGTTAGAAAATCAACCTGTGGACTGAAGGGTCACAGTTTGATTCCTGGTCAAGGGCATTTACCTGGATTGCAGGATTGATCCCCAGCCCTGGTCAAGATCATGTGGGAGGCAACCAATTGATGTGTCTCTCTCCCCCCCTCCCTCCCTTCCACTCTATTTAAAAAAAAAAAAAAAAAAAAAAAATCAATGGAAAAATATCATCAGGTGAAGATTAACAGAACAAAAAACAAAAACAAACAAAAAAGGCAGCCTTCCCTTTGTCTCAGTGGAGTGCACTCTCAGTTTTAACTGGATGCTTTATTTTCCCAGTTCACTATTTCATCTGAAAAAAAGTCTCCCCTTTTCCATATCTCTTGGGGAATTTTGGCTTACAGTATGTATAAAAAAATAAAAATATATACATGTCTTCATCCCTCCCTTTAAAAAACACAAATGGTAGTACACAGACATAGTGTTTTTTCCTATCTTGCTTTTTTTTTATCCTCACCTGAGGACATTTTTTGATTTTTTGTTCAGATAGAGTGGGAGGGAGAAAGAGAGAGAGAAACATCTACGTCAAAGGGACACAATGAGTGGTTGCCACCCACACGACCCAACCAGGGCCAGGGACAAACTGCATCAAAGGAATGTGCCCTGAGCGGGAAACGAACCCGGATCTCTCCGGACTGCAGGCCAATGCTCTAACCGCTGAGCCAAACTGGCCAGGGCCCTATCTTGCTTTTTTATTCATTTGATATATCTTAGAAACTGTTGTCTATCAGATCATAATTTCCTTATTCTTTTCTAAAGCTGTAGAGGAGTCAATTGAATAAATGTCCTAGAATTCCTTTTACCAATCCACATGGCAATAAACACTAATATTCAAAAATTTTTTGATATCAAAATGCTGTGATACATAACCTTGGCTTATGTTATTCCAATGCTGGAAAATCTATAGGATAGGTTTCTTTCTTCTTTTTTTTTTAATTATAAGAAATTACCTTTAATAATTTTTATTTACTTATTTTCCTTTATTGATTTGAGAGAGAGACAGAAACATTGATGATGAGAGAACACTGACTAGCAACCTCCTGCATGCCCTCCACTAGGGATTTGGCCCACAACCTGGGCATGTGACCTGACCAGGAACCAAACTGGCAACCTCTTGGTGCACTGGCTGACACTCAACCACTGAGCCACACCAGCCGGGCTCGCACAGGTTTCTAAAGGATTTGTAACCTGTAGTATGTGTAATGGAAAGAGGATCTGATAAGCTATCACCATACCAGCAAGACAGGCTGAATCCTTCTGGGGACTTTTTCTCTTTTCACCTTCAACCTCTCCTCTCTCAGATCATTCCCCCTATCTGTGTTAAAAAATGTTCTCCAATCTCCTCTAATCTCAGATACCCTCTAATCTGCACTTTTTCTCAGCATACCCTCTATTCTCATGCCCATCACAGCCTGACCTGGACTATACTTGCTTTCTCCACGTCCCCCTCTGTCCATCATTCCTCAATCCAGTCCAATTTGGAGCTAGAGTTGATATGACCAGATAACTTATAGAACACAAGTGGTATGGATCATAGATTATGAACCGTTGAGCCTCAGTGCCTAGGAGACAGGGATGCCCAGAGAAGAGTTTGATGTAGCTGAAGAGAGACGAGAGGGTGATAAATTTAACTTTATTCATGATTATTATTTAGGTGAATGAAGATGCTACTAAGCCCAAAAGAGGGGGCAGGAGAAGTCAGGGTTGGAGGTAGGTACCTGGGAATTGGTGCCCAGAAACGATGGTTGAATTGAGAATAGGAACACCAAAGAGTAAGGACAGAGCCTGCTGGGGAATATTGGGGAGAGCCATGTGCAGGGCCCGAGACAATAGAGAAGGCAAGAATAGGCTTTGCAAAAGGAAGGAGAG